CATGACTTATGACTTAAAAAAAACCTATTTAGTTTATACTTTATTTAAATTTGTAAAACAATACTCTGCTAGTTCGAAATGATTATCTAGTTCAAACTTTCATTCACAATACTAATAGTACTAAAAGTGAAAATCTAAATATGACAAATAATTTGGAAATAGAATGAGTATATTTTTGTCATGTTCTCTTGTTTACTTTGAAATATCGGCAAAGTGGTCTACTAGAAAAAAAAAAAAAAATCTCCAGAGTATAGAGTATTGATTTACACGCGGGGCGCCTCCAATTTTAACATGTTTTTTCAAAGTAGATGTAATTGAAACTAGATGCTTGGCCCAAGCAGATGCCCAGACGGCCCCTCTACTTTAATCTTATGTTAATAGATAAATGAATTTTTTATTTAGAAAAAATAAAATAGCTACACATTTGTTTTTTTTTTTTCCTTTTTTAGCAAAAAATAAAAATAAAAATAAAAAAACATCTGCCAATGGAGAAAAAATATTGAAAAGTACAACGATGCAGAAATCATACAAAAGAATGTGGAGTAATAAAGGGGATAAGTTTATGGACAAATTTAAATACTTTTAATTTGATTGATAAATGATAAATGTTAGGAGTTAAAATTGTGTAACTATTTTTGTAAAGCAACTTTTGTTTTTCCGGATAAGAAATTTTTTTTCTTTTAAAAAAGGATGACACGTGGCAGAATGGTTAATGCAATATGGTGCATTTGGAGCCAAAAATTTTTAATAAGAAGTTGCCACATCAACATCCTGTATTCTGCTTTAATAGGGTAAAAGGGACTACACATTTGGTTTTTTTTTTTCCTTTTCAGCAAAAAATAAAAATAAAAATAAAAAAATCATCTGCCAAAGGAGAAAAAATATTGAAAAGTACAACGATGCAGAAATCATACAAAAGAATGTGGAGTAATAAAAGGGATAAGTTTATGGACAAATTTAAATACTTTTAATTTGATTGATAAATGATAAATGTTAGGAGTTAAAATTGTGTAACTATTTTTGTAAAGTAGCTTTTGTTTTTCCGGATAAGAATTTTTTTTCTTTTAAAAAAGGATGACACGTGGCAGAATGGTTAATGCAATATGGTGCATTTGGAGCCAAAAATTTTTAATAAGAAGTTGCTACATCAACATCCTGTATTCTGCTTTAATAGGGTAAAAGGAATTTTTTACTTTATGATTTTTTTTTTTACTTCTTCTTATTCCTTTGTGTATAAATATCCATTTAAAAGTCTCCACAGTATTTTTTTGAACGGAAATCACATGTGTCGGCTGATTTGTCGACTTATCTAAAGAAACAAAAAAGTTGACGTAGCGAATTTTTGAATTGTTGTAGTAAATTATTTTTACAATTCAAGAATATTTGTGTTTTTTTAATAAAAAATATCCGTGATAATTAAAAAAGTCGAAACTTATAATTTTTGTAAACCAAATAATTTATGCACTTATTTAAATTCGTAAATACATTATAATCTTCTATTGTTTTCATTTACTTTAAAAAGACGACAAAAGATTAGCAGGTGAAAATAATGTCTGGAACAGAATAAAATACCGCGTTGAATTATCTTTATACCTATGCTAAAGCCGACAAGCTACAAAATTTGTACTATATATATATATATATTCCATTTTCAATTTAGCCGTCGGTTTTATAACATGGCTAACCGATTGTTATAATTTTAAATAATTTTTTTAAAAATATGTCGACATTGATTTTTATTTTTTTACCATTGAAATTTTATTACTTCTTCTTATTCCTTGATAGATAGGTCTCCATTCAGATTTGCCGCTTTTTTAGCTGGAAAACGTATGCGTCGACTTTTTTCATCAGATTATATTTGTCGATGATTTATTTTAATTTTTTTTATATAAAAAAGAAAAAATCTATGTCGAAATCTACTTAATCAGCCTTTAAGAATTAGCTAACTAGTACCGACACGAGGGAAAGCCCTTCAAAATGAGGGCCTTTAACTTGGGTTCTTAGGTGGAGGATTGATCTAGCATCAATAAATTGGATATGGGCTTAACTCACATAATAGGCCTGAATTGCCATTTTGGAGAGAATTTGATTCGGATGTGAAGTAGTACTCCTATTTATTTATTTTTGTTGTACAGTATTTTGATAAATTTCAATAGATAAACATAGTGGAATACCGGGATAGGATAAGAAAAAACCCTTCTGCTGCTTCAAGAAAATTAATGTGTCGAAAGCACTGATAATCAAGGCGACACACAAAATTTAATTTAATTCAGTCTCCTGACTTAAATTTCCTATTTAATTCACAATAAATGTAGGGTTAGTGGGGTGATAAATTTTGTTTTTCTTATAATCTCATTATTAAGGAGTAGGAAGTCCACATGTTGAGCTATTTAGGTATTGAAGAAATGATGTACACCGTGTTAAAGGAATAAGAAGAATCCCTCCCCCCCCCCACCACCCCTCCTCACAAAAAAAAAAAAAAGTAATCATAATTATATAAATAAAAAAGTGAGCATAAAAATGAAACAAGACTATGTGTAAAAAGATACTTCCTCTGTTCCAAAATTATTGTCCACTTTACATTTTCATTTTCAGTACAAATTGAACTATAAATGAAAATCCAAACTGGACAATAATTATGACACGGAGGGAGTATTATTTACTGCAAACATTATTAGAGTATAATGTTTTGGGATATTACTTTTTCATTATCTGAGCAATTTTCATTTTGGGCGGACCGTAGTTTTTCTTACATGTTCTCTTTGAAGTCTATCACAGAATGTTGTTTTCTCTTTTTAATTTCTTACTCGGAAACGCAAAAGATCTGCTATTTGTAAAATTTATGATGATGTAACTAGGCTAAGTTCGCGCATTACAACATTCAGCCACAACTATCTAATAAGTGGTGGTCTAAAAGCATGAAAAGTGAAAACCCATATGTTGTCTTATAAATTTACCAAACATTTAGAGCAATAAAAATGGAGCTAAATGTTATCCTTAATCCACTCCTGTACTTAATTTTCATAAAGAATGGTGTAATAGATGTGGCTACCTAATTTGCTTAATGCTATCACTCAACAATTATTTTTCCTACTTAGGTCTTTTTTTGTTGTTGACCACATGTTTGCGACTTCATCAAAGGAATAATTAACTAAAACCAAAAGAGGGGAATAAAAGTCGATTCATTTTACGATTTCCAGTTTAGCTGGTTTGGTTCAAAAGGTTATCGTGCTTCGCATATATATGGTGGCCATTCTATTTATAGTTAGCTAAGTAGGTACAAAAGATTTTATACATATGCTATCCATCCTAATTTCAAATAAAAGTTTATATATAATTATTCCAGTATATCCGTTCTTTATATATATAATGACGGAACCAGCTCCAAATATTTACTGGATCGAGTACATATATAAAATTTTTTCCCGAAAATATTTTAAAAATTATAAGGTAATTTTTTAAAAAAATTTGACGACCGCAGGGTCGGCCAACCACCCTCCCTCCTCCCTGGTTCCGTCCCTATATATAAATTTGTAGGAAAAATGAACGTTCTATGATATGATATTATGGTAAGAGTTTATTCCACATCTAAGTTGGTTTGCGAATGTAAGAGGAAACATAAGTATACGCGGTCATGACCTCATAAGGATACGTAAGATATCTCCGTAATATAATAATTTAGTCTCAAGTTTATCAATTTCTTATCTTTATAAAAAAAATATAAATATACGCGGTATTGTATCAAATTACATCTTATAATATTTTTTGTATTTGAAGAGAACATGTATTGTCAATAATAAAATAATATTCCAGCCAAAATGAGCAGGGACAATCTATGGCAAACTCGGTAGGGAACTTGAATATTTGCTGCTTGTCCTAATTTCTAAAAATGATTTATAACCATTTTAGTATCAACAATTCGTGTTTCATTTATCGGAAAAATTGGCGTACAATGATTTATACCAAAAGCCCTCTATCACAGTTGCAAACTTGCAATGGAGGGTTCCAAACCTTAATTTAAATACCTAGGGCTGCTTTCAACCTCTTTCATAAGAATCTGTTCACGACCAGCTATCAGTAAGTGTTGTATTAGATTGAAGATCGGCTTATCTTACTGTCGCCCCAATCTCTAAGTCGGATTTACAATATCTGTTGTAATTTTGAATAATGATTTGTATTCATTTCAGTATCCGCGCGTTTTTAATTTATTTATAGAAGAAATTAACGTTTAATGATTAAGGTGTACTCAGTCAAACTTCGAGATAAATTAGTGATAACTCAACTCAAAAAGTTGGTAACAAAAATAAAAATGCGCGAATTCGAATTCGACATATTCACAACAACAAAATTCAACTCAATAAAATATTGGTTAAACCATTGTCAAATTCAATTAACAAATTAGTGTGACAAATTAATTACTCCCTTTTATCTTTCAAGGGAAAATAAATAAAACTTTGCCTTGACTAACGTTTCTCATAATGTAAATTTTTCAATTAAAAAAGTTCACCTCGTACAAGGACAAATAGAGGGAGTGATATTTGACAAATAACCACTAATTTCTCCACCCCCTTTTTTTTATAATTTTTAATTTTATTTTTTCCCCACTGTAAATTGTCCAAAAGGGAAGTCCAGGGGTTACAATCTACAGCAAACCTCCTCCATCGGATCATTTTCCAATCAACGGCTACAAAACACACATTCCTTTGGTCCTATAATATATGTCCTAACTAAGCAATTTATTATTTCACTATTATGTATTCTTCATATCAGTCATGGTCTGGAGATTGAGTACATCATCACTAAGTAGAGTCCTTACTATCTTCCTTATATTCCAAAACACACAGAAAATTTTCTTGTTTGGATTGAAATCTCCATAAACAGAACAACTATTTTACTTGCTTGAAAACAGCCCCATTCCTTTTTATCTTCTCCTCATTGAATTAATTCCGTTCCGACAACCCCTTTTTTTATTTCTTTCATTTTTTTTTCATTTTTCATTCATGGAAGGAGGAGGTGTTAGGGGTGTTTTTCCTTACAGGAATAATTTCCAAAGGGACCATCATCTTCCTCTTCTTACTAGAACAAGGTCTAATCCTCCACCATTTGCTGCCATTGATAGGTTCTTGTGCCGTCAAACCCTCTTTTCTCAACAAGGGATTCTCACCGATTACTCCACCAAAACCACCCTTGAATTTGATCCTGATTCTGCTTCCTCCCCATCTAGAGCTGGTGTTAATAACATCAACCCCCATGCAGTGGCCGGTGCCGGAGCCGGCGGTGGTGGCGGTGTGGTGGTGCCGTGGCTGAGTTTGCCTCATCATGATTCCAGTTTTGTTGATGGGATTTTTCTGAATGATAAAAATCTGAACTGGGATGGCCAGGGGTTAATTGAAGGCAACTTTAATCTTGCACCAAAAAACCCAAGGAAGAGAGAAAAGGGTGGCTCTTCTTCTTCAGTCAATTTAATCAAAGGCCAATGGACCGATGATGAAGACAGGTAATATATACACAAATTTCTCTTTAGTATTGTCTGATTTGATTTCTTAATTTCATTTGCTTAATTTCCATGCAAAAAAAAAAAAAAAAAAGTGGTTCATGACATAGAAAATGAATCAGTAGTGTCTGATTTGATTTCTTAATTTTTATTTGTTCTTTTTCTCTTCTTAATTTGGCAGTAAACTGAGGAAATTGGTGATGCATTACGGTGTGAAGAAATGGGCTCAAATTGCTGAGAAAATGACTGGAAGAGCAGGCAAACAGTGCAGGGAGAGATGGCATAATCATTTGCGCCCAGATATCAAGGTACTTTTTTTTCTTTTTTTTTTAAACAATTCTCTTCTCATCATCATCTATCACTTGAGGATCATCGATATTAAATTTGTTTCTTAATATTTGAAATTCACTTGATCTGATATTTTTGACATGATTTGTTTGTCTATTACCAAGTGAAGTACTCAAGTGATTATTTGATGATGAAGTATGTCAATTGAATCTAGGAAGTTAGATCTTCATCAGATTCGGTGCAAAAACATTTCCATGAATAAGAAATAAAATTACCAAAAATCTGAAAATCTCCAAACTTTTAATTAATCTTTGTTTGTTTGGGTTTCTGGAAAAACAAAAAGTTTACCACATATAGACATCGGCGAATTTAAAGACTGTGTGTCCAGACAAGGTGTCTTCATTTTCGGATAAATTCTTGTTGATTTGGACATTTTCTGTTCATTCTATCCTAGGGTTTTGTCTTGTAGAGATGACAAAGTGATTGAGTTGGTGACCGACTTAATGAGCCCCAGCCAGGCTTTTCTTCTTCCTGAATTAATTCACGATTTATTGCCATTTCTTCTGATTTTCTCTAAAGTATTTGTTACCTTATCTTCCTGGAAATATATTCCCTTCATTAATACTACTTACAAGTGTTTCCTGTAATTTCCAAAAAAGCCTTTTTTTTTTCTTTTCTCTTTTTAAAATAAACTAAAAACTACTAATAAGTATAATTATTTAGTTTTTACAAAATTGAAATGCTTCCAACGAGGATGTATTTTTGTCATATTAGATCACCCTTTTCATCATGTCCTAAACCCATTTTCCATGTGACAGTTTGAACTCTTTTCCGACAAAGTAAAGATTTGTTATGAAAGTAATTATATCCAAGGACAAATTAGTGGGAAATTATCCACTATCTCACTAATTAATTTTTTACACTTGTAATAATTAGTTAAAAAACGATAAATATTAATTCTGATTTCTTTTGGGAATGTGACAAATTTTCAGAAGGACACTTGGAGTGAAGAGGAGGAAGAGCTGTTGGTAAAATCTCATATGGAAGTTGGCAACAGATGGGCAGAAATTGCGAAGAGAATTCCAGGTAGGACTGAGAATTCAATCAAGAATCACTGGAATGCCACCAAGAGGAGACAGAATTCCAGGAGGAAGAGCAAGAAATCAGAAGGGCAAAACGGGAAAACCGCTCAACCCACCATCCTCCAAGATTACATCAAACGTACTCTCGGTCTTACGTCTCCGCCGCGGCCTCCCAGCAACAATAACTCCTCTTCCCTGAGCAGCGCCGCCACCACTCCTCCCAGCTCCGCCATCTCCGACGACAACCGCCACCACCACATGGGATTTTTCCCGGAGCTTTCCCAGTCAAACTCCGAAGAATCCCCTTCCTATTTAGCCCAACATTCATCCAACGATGATGAAATGAACTTCTTTCAGAACCTGTTCAGCAACTCCGCCGCCACCTCATCGGCGGAAATCGCTGTCAAAGTTGAGCCTCCAGTTATTGAAACTAAGCCATTTGGAGTGATTGGAAACCCCAGCAGGACCTTCAACGGCGGCGGCGGTGGCGGTGGTGGTCAGGGCTTTCTTGGGAACCACAACAACAACAACATGGGATTTGGCGGCGGGTTCTCTTCATTTGCTGAACAAAACCACCACCAGTTTCCGGCCGCCGTGAAAAACCCTCCATATGAAGAAGTTCACCAATCTACGGTCTACCCTGATTTTTACTTGTCACAGATTTTGAATGAAGCCAATGCTTTGGTGAACCCTTCTTCTGATGGATACAACAATGGAAGCAGTAACAACATGAACAATGGAGTGGATTATTCTTCCATGGGAATGGCTTCTTCAAGTTCTCAGTTCAAAACAGGCAATTCTACCAGTACCAACAACTTTGTTTTCTGATGATCATCCATCGGTTTACAACATCATACTTGAGGGTTTTTCAAACAAATGAATAAAGATTAGAGATTCTGATATTCATCGCTGCGTGTTTTGTCAACGCAGGATGATATATTATTCTAGTCAAACCCTTCTGGTTATAATGTTTTAGTTTTTTTTTACTGTTTAGCCTCTCTAGTTTTTAATTGTGCACAAGTTTCGGGTAAACTTACCAAAACATGTTGTAGTTCAAATTATAATTTTAATTGTGTTGTGATATTTGTATGGAATTAAGTACTGTATTGAAATTCTCTGGTTTATTTTTTTTTTTTTGTTTTTATTTTGAGTAGTCGTGTCCAAATATTTGTGCAGTATATATCCAGGTGTTAGTTTTCCGTTATTCTATTTTGTTGCATGCATTTAGACTATATACAAGTATCTTTTTGAAAACGACATGGGTTCTTTTCTGGGTCGGTGATGCTGACCTCTTTCCAATTGGTTCTTTAATTTTAGTTTTTCGTCACCTATATTCGTCTCAGTTCAAAAAGGCTTTTATTCTCATCCTTGAGAGTTTTCTGCCAAGAAAAAAGGTGATCCAAAATAAGGTAAAGAAGAGCATTGATGAAAGAATTCCCCAACTGTGCTCACTTTTCTCCTCTCATTAAGCGCTCCATGCCGCCTCACATATAATCCATGATGATGATGAGAGTGCAACATCACTTGGAAACAAAGAAATGAATTTCCCTATATTGCGCAGTTTAGAGTTGGAATATTAAACTACGCAATGACGGTTGGATGAATTAATTAATAATTATTAGATGAGGGTACAATTCTAATTACGTACTCAGACGCTCTTACGAATCCTCCAAACCAGAAAAAAAAAATAAAAAATTTGACATCTCATGCATTTCTATAATGTCAAATTTCACCTTTTAACAAGTTAAAATGTAAACTAATTTTAGACTGGTGCTTCCATCTCGGTATCTCATCCATTTTGTCACACTCAATGAATACGTCAAATAACCAGCTTGGACAACAAGATAAGTCGGCCATAAATAATTTCTGTAATATTTAAGAACTGGACTTAGTATCAAGAAATTTTACAATTATAAAAATATTCTTGTTTTGCAAGTGAGTGTCGATCACAATGTACTTTCGACCCTGATCATAATGAATACAGTAATTGGTGAATATTTCTCTTGTAATTGGAAATTTCATCAGATGAAAAATATTTTGATTAAGTGAATACGTTAAATGTCCTTGCTAATATGTACATGCAGATTAATTTTTGATAAGACAATTACTACCAAACAATGATGACTGACATAAGTTTTTATTTTCTTAAGCCCATCCTAATTACTAGATTGTGTTTTTTTTTTAAAAAAAAATTAAAAACTATATTATATTATTTTACTGGAAATTTTCTATCAACAATTGATAATGAAACATACAGTCGAAACAAGAACACAACTTACAATCAAACTTAATACTATTGTTGTATTTATCGTGGATAAATCTAATCTAGATTTACTCAATACAATGATGGATATATCACGTGTCAGATAATCAATCTGATCAAGAACATGTCTCTAATCATCTAATGAAAGCCCCAAATCATAGATCTATTGAATAGATCTATGATGACTGAATCTTCTTGAATTGCACAGTGTGAAACAACGAATGAAACTACGAACATCGCAGCAACAATACGGAAGACACCACGAACACCCTACCCTCTCAATAGATCACAATTAATCTATCGAAGGAATAATACCTGCAAGAAAAAAAATCATACCCTTTCAATAGATCACAATTAATTTACTGAAGGAACTACATTTTGAGGGACAAATCCCACTCATTGAACAATAAAAAAGCTGTAAACTAAGAAAAATCAGATTGTGTTTTTTTTTTATTAAGAGTAATTCATTTTTTTATATTGGTAATATTTCAATCCACATTTAAAAGTATTTTGTACAATTCTTTTTTGAATTAGAAAAGAAACATACTAAAAAATTTCACAAACAAAGTCCGACTAGAAAAAGTTGTTATACGGTCTTTCTCTATGAAATCGGAGGATGGAAAAAAAAAAGAGAAAAAGAAAAAGACAAGAAAAAAGCAGTACTACTAGTGTATATTTACCATCTTTCAGAAAAAAAAGGAAAAAAATATATATATTTACCATTATACGCTGGATGCACAGTGATGAGCATGGTTTAACTGAACCGTAAGAACCACCTGAATCAAACCTGAACTGTAAGAACCACCTGAATCAAACCGCATCCGAACTGTTGGGTTTGGTTCAAAACGGTTTTTGGTTCGGATTTTTAACCAAACCGCTTCTTGAACAAGATTAATGGTTCAGTTGGGCATGCCCACGGTTCTAAAACCGCCGGTTCCGGTTCCATAAAAGTAAGAATCAGAATCGCCCTTAATATCATGGTTTCGGTTACGGTTTGAGAACCACCGGTTTCGGTTCAATTTCGGTTTGGTTCCGGTTCAATTCCGGTTTGGATCCGGTTTTGTTGTATTTTTGGTTCTGATTTTAAATTTGTGGCGGTTTTGGTTATGATATATTTTTTTTAATCAAATTTCCTTAGTTTAGTTTTTTTTTTTTTTTGAAAAACAACCTGAAATGTGGAGAACCTCAATTATTTTATATTTAAAAAAAGACAATACTTGACGTGTATACCCCCAAATTTTAACTGTATGAAATATAATAATACATAGCTTAAAACTTATCCAAATCAACAAGCAATCCTAACAAAGATTATCTAAGCAAAGAGATAGTTGTATCATATTTTAAAAAATAATTATGTCAAAAGAAACTAAAAAATTACTGCTGAAATCAAATTCACAAGAATATTCAGAGCTCACATCGCTAATGATTTAAGCGAGTAATACCTAAAACCTGCAAAATATGAACTATATTGAAAGAGAAAAAACTATATTGAAAATATGTGTATCGTGTGTAAATATATAAAATAAGGGAGAATACCTTGTTTAAAATGTGTTATATTTATTATTTCTTGGATTTAGATTTATTTTTTGTATTATATTAGTAAGTTTTTTTTACTGTAGTTGGGATTTTTTTTTTTTTTTTTCTAAGTTGTTTTAGATTGATAACAGTATGAGATAACGACCCTATGAATGATGTAGTAGTGAAGAAAATATGCATACTTGTGATGGTAGGAAGAAAGTTGTGAGAGAGTTTATTGAAGCTTAATTTTTTTTAATTAAAAAATGATGAAATTATCGGGATACGATTTAATTGGTAATTAAATTAATGGTTTATACGGTTCAAAATTGACAGTTTAAACCGCTGGTTCACTGTTTAAAACTAATATAACCTTAACCGAACCACCAATGCAATGTTCGTTATGGTTTTTAGAACCTTTAAAAACGGTTCAAGAACCGGAACCTTTTTATTCGGTTTAGTTCCGATTCGAACCAGAACCTTGGGTATGCCTAGTTCGGTTATCGGATTTATACTTTTATTTCGATTAACTGGACCGAAATCCGTGGTTTGGTTTGGTTCGGCACGATTAACCGAATAACTGTACATAATATATATATATATTATATTATATTATAGTTTGGATATAAATAAATTCATAGTGTATTTTTACATGTTTGATATTACCAATATAATAATTTATTGAATATCATAAACAATAAACCACTCGTTATGTCATTTATAACTGAATGTAACATCATATGAAATTGAATCAAAATATATTCTATTAGTTTAATGTAATTTTGAGTCTTAGTCTCTTAGATTGTGTTTGAAGTCGTTTGGATTTAACATATATACTATGTTTATTGATAATGTTTATTTAATTAATTTATTTTAACTTTTGGATATTTGTCGGAATGTTTTTTTCCTTTTTTTTCCGATTTAATTTACATTATGACAGTGTCATGAAAGATTTTAGTTAGAAAAAATCTAATTAGTGTAATTGAAAATAATGTTTCGGTTCAAATGGTTATCGAACCGAAAAAACCGAAGTTATTTTAGCTTTTCGATTTCGGTCAACCATTATATTCGGTTCGGATTTCAGTCGGTCAAAATTCTCATGACAAAAAAATAAAAATTCGATTTATCCGCACTGAAAACCTGAATCACCGAACCGCTCTCACCCCTAGATGCACTAAAAGGACAATATTTCTTAAATTACTAAAATGGGCTTGAACGGATCTGGTTTTTACAAGGAATGTTGCTGGATCGGGTTGTTAAACCCTAAACTAAAATCTTTGTTCCTCTTATCGGAGCCTCCACCCCAAAACCCTTCCCGCCACCCAGTCTCCTCCGCCTACACCTCCGAAGAAGTGAAGAGAGACTCCTAACATCTTCCCTTTGACATGGTGAAGGCTTACCTGAGATACGAGCAGGCCTTATCTTTCGGCGTGATTGCGTCTGGGGATTCGAACATCGCCTTTGACAGCTCCGGCGTACACTTGTTTGCTCCGGCGTTGGAGAAGGTTGGCGTTTGGAATGTTCGGCAAGGTGTCTGTACTAAATCTTTATCCCCTACTGTTTCTTCCTCCTCCCGCGGCCCAGCTGTTGCCGTCACCTGCATCGCTTCCTCTCCAACTTCTCCAACTTCTTTTGTAATTTCCGACTCTTATCCTTCTTCATTTGTTGTTTTCTTAGCTATTGTCAAGCAGTGTTAGTCTCAATTCCTTGTATGTTATCCTGATAATTTGTCGGATTGGTAATGAGATTTTGACAATATAGCTGACAATTTATTTTTCTCCGAAAAGCATTATTTAGGATGATGATTGAGCAATCTACTTTCTTGTTTTCCTTGTTTTGTCTGGATGATACTAATGAGTAGGAAATTGGTGGTTGAAACTATTGGCAGATAGCCTGTGGTTATGCTGATGGAAGCATAAGGATATGGGATTGTGAGAAGGGAACATGTGAAACTACATTAAACGGACACAAAAGTGCTGTCACGACTCTCTGCTACAACAAGCTCGGATCACTGCTTGCATCAGGAAGCAAGGATAGTGACATCATTTTATGGGATGTGGTTGGCGAGACAGGCCTCTTTCGCCTTCGTGGGCATCGTGATCAGGTTTACACTTTACACATCTGTTTCTGTGATTCGAGCTAGCTCAATTTCATTAATTTTCTGGGAAAAGCTTTTACAATTTTGTTTGTTGTGTTCCTTTTTAGGTTACCGACCTTGTTTTCTTGGACTCTGGTAAAAAACTGGTTAGTTCTTCAAAGGATAAGTTTTTAAGAGTTTGGGATCTGGAAACCCAACACTGTATGCAGATTGTTAGTGGTCATCACAGTGAAATCTGGTCAATTGATGTAGATCCTGAGGAAAGATATTTAGTAACTGGATCAACAGATCCCGAACTCAGATTTTACACGATAAAGAGTGGTTCTACCCTACGTGAACCTCCGACAGATACTAATGCAAAGGAAGCAGATAAAAAAGGAGCTCAAAATAAATGGGAAGTTCTGGCACATTTTGGTGAAATCCAGCGACAGGTTAAAGATAGAGTTGCTACAGTTCGATTTAACAATTCTGGGACTTTGTTGGCATGTCAAGTGGCAGGAAAAACGGTTGAGATATTCCGCGTCCTGGATGAGTCTGAATCTAAACGTAAAGCAAAGAGGAGAATCCACAGGAAGGAGAAAAAAAATTTAAAAGTGGCCGCTGCTATTGCTGAAAATGGTAATATAAATTCTGTAGCTGAAGATGGGAGCAATCCAATGATTACTGTGCCAGATGTGTTCAAGCTTCTTCAAACTTTACGTGCCAGTAAGAAGATATCATCAATGTGTTTCTCTCCTAAAACATTGAAGAACAAAGTTGCAACTCTTGCACTGTCTTTAAATAATAACCTGCTGGAATTTTATTCGATTGAAAGTAGTTCATCTATAAAAAGCTTTGCTATTGATCTGCAAGGACATCGTTCTGATATCAGGAGTGTTACCCTTAGCTCTGATAACACTCTTTTGATGTCAACTAGCCACAGTTCCATTAAAATATGGAACCCCAGCACAGGCTCTTGCCTTCGGACTATTGATTCAGGATATGGACTCTGTGGTCTCTTTGTTCCTGGCAACAAATATGCAGTGGTTGGTACGAAGACTGGAACTTTAGAAATTGTTGATGTGCGCAGTGGCACATGTGTTGAAGTTGTTGAAGCACATGGGGGATCTGTTCAGTCAATTGCTCCAACTCCAGATGGGAGCGGTTTTGTCACTGGTAGTGTAGATCATGATGTTAAATTCTGGGAGTACCAAACTATCCAGAAGCCTGGTCAGGTTTGTGACCTGTGTTTCTTCTTCTATCTCGGAACCTGAAATTTTTCCTTCTCTATCTATGCCTATGTGTATTGCTCTCTATAGAACTTTATTGTACATAATAGAATTCTTGTCATACTTTAGTAATTTCAGTTGCGGAGTCAAAAAAAAAAAAAAAAAAAAACCTTGTTGCTGTTACTTCATGTATTAATACCGTTATTGTTTATAGGACACAAAGCATCTGACTGTCTCTCCTGTGAATAATTTGAAAATGAATGACGATGTTCTCGTGGTTGCTGCCAGCCCTGATGGAAAACACATTGCTTTTGCCTTGTTGGATTGCACAGTGAAGGTGAGGATGTCTGAAACTTGTACACTGATGGCTTCTTTACATGTTATTCTGGTGTGAGACAAAAAGATCTTCAATCCCATGGCATAACTCATCATTATCAAAACTTCTGCAGGTATGTTATATGGATACACTCAAATTTAAATTGTCACTCTATGGCCACAAGCTGCCTGTGCTGTGCATGGACATCTCATCTGATGGAGATCTGCTTGTGAGTGGGTCTGCGGATAAAAACTTGAAAATCTGGGGGCTCGATTTTGGTGATTGCCACAAGTCTATTTTTGCTCATGCTGACAGGTGTGCAGTAATTTCAGTTTATGTCAATATCGTTTTTGGTCTTTTAGACAGAAACAGTGATGTGTACAAATAGGACTTGGTTAAGAGATGCTGGTGAACTCTCTTTTATGCAGTGTTATGGCAGTAAAATTTGTTCGGAATACCCATTACATGTTTAGCGTTGGAAAAGATCGCCTTGTAAAATATTGGGATGCTGACAAATTTGAGTTACTTTTAACTCTGGATGGTCACCATGCTGAAGTTTGGTGTCTCGCTATCAGCAACCGTGGTGATTTTATTGTTACTGGATCTCATGACCGGTCCATACGTCGTTGGGATCGCACGGAAGAACCTTTTTTCCTCGAGGTATGGTTCTTAGAGTCATTCTTGGCTAATATTATTGAAAGTTTCAAATATTATTATTAATTTTTTGGTTCAGTTATTTCCCGAGTCATTCTTTGACATTGAAGTTCACCAAGGGGTATGAGCCCTACACAAAAAGAAACCCAGCTTAAATGTATTAATTTCAACTTCTTAATCTTGTAGGAAGAGAAAGAAAAAAGGTTGGAGGAGATGTTTGAGGCTGATATTGACAATATCGAGGATAAATATGCTCCAAAAGACTTAATTCCTGAGCAGGGAGCTACGGCATTAGCAGGAAAGAGAACTCGTGAAACTCTGACTGCAACAGATTCCATTATAGATGCTCTAGACATGGCAGATGCTGAACAGAAACGGATTGCAGAACATGAGGTACATTTTCTTTTCTTTTTCCGTCGTATGCTTTCACTGCACAAATTAAGGTGTGAGGCATTTCCCCCTCACTATTGCTTTTGCTGAAGATTTATATTTGTATGAGATATATGCATACACGTTTGTTTTGTAATTCTTCGATTTTATTGAAGGCTGGTTGGTAAAGGGCCATGTCCCAGTAATGGCCGATAATAATTTGAAACTCGTAGTCCCATTGCTTATTCAAAATTTTCCAATTTTAGGAGGATAGATTAAAGGGAAGAACTGCAGAGTTTCGCCCCAATATTCTCATGCTTGGACTTTCTCCATCAGAATACATTCTCCGTGCAGTATCTAATGTTCATACAAATGATTTGGAGCAGACGTTACTGGTAAATTCTTGCTGATTTAGTCATCTTCCATTGTATCTCTTTTTGTTCTGGTTTGTTGTGAATGTTGTATTGTTAGTAACTTATGTCCGCTACATGGACATGTTATATGTATTAGATTTATGCTACAGTGTGAAATTTGTGTAGTTGTTGGGTAATTGAATCAATTTGAGCCTTAAGTAAAAGCGCCTAAAATTCGTTACCAATCAGTTCAAGTTCTTTTTAATTTATGGTATGCAACATTTGCAGAATGAAAGAATTTGATATTCCCACTTACCAATAGTTATGCTGGATTTGGAAAGTTCAGATATTGATGAAATGTTTTTATTTTCTGGACACTTGCATGAGTTGGACTTTTGCTTATCTGTGGAAATGTTCTTTTGGGAACATTGAAATTCTCTGTACAGAAACTAGTCTGTTCTGTTGTCTGGATCTGATTTCTTGAGAGGTTGATTCTTATGGTTGCTGCGTTTTTCCTTGCAGGCACTACCGTTTTCAGATGCGTTAAAGCTTTTCTCTTACTTAAAAGACTGGGCCTATATTCCTGATAAGGTTGGCAGTTTATACTAATCAATGCATGCTCGATAAATATACTTTGTCTAGTCATTGTAACCGTGGTTGTGAGTTTTGCTTCTTCCCAACCTTTTTTGATAAAATTGGTATATGTCCACTGGGCATGGTAAAAATTTTAGTTCTACTCTACCTTCTGATTGATAAAGAACCAGCAACTTGAAGTAGAACTGATTTTTCTGGACTAACAAGCCATACTAAATTGCTAGTCATTTCTGGTCCAAATGAAATGATCTTAGTGTTCTCTATATGGCAGGTTGAGCTTGTGTGCAGGATTGCCACAGTTTTATTAATAATACATCATTACCAATTGGTTTCAACTCTTTCAGCCCGACCTGTTTTAACTCATCTGAAGGACGTTCTTCATGCAAGAGTTAAGGTAATTATGACGGTTAATTTCTTTCATTTTCTGCTGTTTTTATTATCGAAATGTCACCGTCCTATATATAAATTATTATGTATATGTTCTCCCCTTTTAAGAAATTGTGGTTGTAGATTCATTGCTATGATTCACACCCCACCTGAAAATTAATCATCGATATATCAAAAAGTTAAGATAATGACTTTTCTATAGTTGAGGCATATTTGTCATTTGAATCTTTGATCTCTTACTAGAAGCTGCTTAGTACAACCATGAGACTTCTTTGTTCTACTTATCAATCAACTGTAGTTCTAGTATTTACATTACATCTTTTTACTGTGACTGGATTCAGATTAAGTTGAGACATGACAAGATGTCTTATTCGAAATGCTGTACTCAAGGTTAATGGAAACCACAGACAAAGGATCAAATAGACTAAGTACTAATTTTTGAGTCTGGGATGTAATTACTCTTTGTGATTGCATCCACTTGGGAGGTCTTGTCAATTATATCAGTCTTTGTTTTCCTTTTAACACATTCAATCTCTTCATATTCATTTTATTAAATGGTGACAAGATTATAGTAAATGCTCAAAGTTAGTTGAGATCACGAAATCTATTCAATGGTCCTTTTTGGTCTTCACTGGGGAGTGATTTCGATGCTTAAAACTTTAATCTATCCAATTTTAAAAAATGTTCAGGAATGCAAAGATACTATTGGATTTAACCTAGCGGCAATGGATCATCTGAAGGTATGTTCTTTGCATCCGTAGAATTGCAACAGATTTCCTCACTTATATGGGGTTTAAATACTGAAGTGCATGTTTCTTGTTTCCTTCAGGAGCTGATGTCTCAGAGGTCAGATGCTCTATTTCTTGATGCTAAAACTAAATTACTAGAAATTCGAGCTCAATATTCAAAACGCGTGGAAGAAAGATCCGAAATAAAGATAGAAAAGAGGAAAAAGAAGCTGAAGAAATCAGATGGCGAACATGTTTGGTCCTGACCACCAGTCTTATCCTGGGTATTATTACTATGGCACTTGCTCATGGTTGCTGAAGGAGGCTATAGACGGGGATGGAATGTGGCTGTTGATGGACACGCTTACAACTGCATCATGGATCACCTCTGAATCGATGAGTTTGATCTTGCAATTGGCCAGGTTTTTTAGACTACCCATACATTAAAAAGCCGCGAGTATATCTGCTGCATGCAGATTCAATTTTGGCCGTTCTGAGTGATGTAAATTGCTGTCGTGAGTGGGATATGTTAGTGTACAAATTTTATCTCACTTGCAGGGTAGTTTTGGGGAATAGCTCACTTTCCTCGTAATGGAATGTGGATCAGAAGTAACCTCAATTGTTTTTAATGAGAAAATCAGATGTAGAGGCCCTGGGATGTTGTAGAGTAAAACTTGCACTGTTGTTGATCTATGTTTTCTGCTTTCATGACTTTTAAGGTTTTTACTTGAGCGGTTGTGGATGCGTGTTCTTTTTCCTTTTAAATCCAACCCCATGTGAACTAGTGTTATGACGTGAAGTTTACAAATACAAAAAAGAACTAAACTCAACAAATTTGATCAATGTTTATTTTGTATTTCAAAAATTGAACCAGGCTTTTCTTTGTGTTTGCGGTGTAAAAACTCTGAAACATCATGGCGTTCCACTTAGAAGAGCAACGAAAAAAAAGGAATGAAGAACAAAAAAGAGAACCTCCAACACCTGTATTATGTACAGAAGTAGAAACTAGCGGCTCTGAAGGGAGGATGTGTGGTCAGGCGAGGTAACGAGCCTGGAAAGTTTGGCCAAATTGCCAGTCCCCGGAGGCGGCGTTCCACACTGATTTCTTCCCATCACTGGTGGTGACCCTAAATTTAAGAGGCTGGCCGCACAACTTCTCGTTGGTCTGCCATTTCTGGCCGTAGTTCCTAGTCATAGGTATCCACTTCGACTTGTCCGATCCTTGTACCTCAAGATTCGTAACATCCCCGGCGCCTCCAACGTTTGAAACCAAGACCAGATTGAAGTAGGGATTCCCTGAAATGGTGAATCTGATCCCTCCCTTCCTTCCCCTGCATGCCACCCTGCAACAGATTGGACAAAAAGTAGGCCATTTGTGTTGAAATAAATGAATTAGGTGAATCTTAATCAACAAAATCTTTGCTTGTAATCAGCTATTAATGTCAAAAGAGTTCTTCATCATTTTCCCTGTAAACTGGAAAAACGTTCCAAACATACCTGCGATATTGAATAGGAACAATGCCAGCCTTGTACTCAGCGATTTGAAGGAAAGCCGGCTGTGACATATCGAAATGCTCGCGCGGGGGATTGCACCATCCTCCCTGGTCGCTCGGTAAGCCGTAATTTGGTGGGCACGAATTGGTTGCCGTAATATACACAGAAGGGTTCCCCGGCTTGCACCCTTTATCGTTCACGCATTTTATTTGATAGCAGGCCCCGCATGTCAGCCCGTTGTTGAACAATGCAAAGCTCAACGCCGCCGTTTGTGTTCCGTAGCTTCGATCTTTCAAGTCTCCGTACCCACAAGCACCCTCTGCATTCACAATTTTATGTAACAATTACTAATAATAAGAACCTTTTCAAAAAAAAAAAAAAAACTAATAATAAGAAGAAATTTTATTGAAAACGATGTATTAACGCTTATAAATTAATATCGAGAGGTCTCGAGATCAAGTAACAGTAGCGATGCATACCAAATGTTCCTGAGCCGTCGGCTTCCCCATAGAAAGTCGCATGAGCATCTTTCCACGCACCGCGGGCGTATTTTTTGTATTCAGGTGTTATTGCTGCCCCGTTTTCGAAATGCAGGGCAAGAACGAGACTGATCAATAATATTGACGTCAATTTAAAGAATGATCGCACATTATTAGTAGCCATGTTGCTTAATGGAATCTATTTATATTATGCATATAACGATTGATTTTACCGAACTTTGGATAGCTTCCGTAAAATCAATCAGCACAATGTTTTTCTTTGTTTTGAAAAGTATTCAGATTAACTAAATATGCATGTACTCTTTATACTACTAAGGTTTCTCAATCTAGTGGTGCTTATTGCCATACTTCGTTTAGATCACCAAGCGTATGTAGTCCGCATTTCATTCTCTATTTTACCGCTATGTCTCCTTTTCAATCCAGGAACTAATTAACCAATAACAAAGATTGGCTGAAATTCATACCTATTTTGTTATCCTTAACTTTTTTTTTTTTTTCTTTTTGTTGCCCGGAATGGATATGTGGTGGAAACTAAAGTGTCCGCCACAAATACTTCGTATTATTGCGTGGACAGTCATGCAATGGTTAAAATACTTGTTAGAAAAATTTTATATCACTTTATGAAGGGATCAATCAGGCTTGAATCAAGATATATTGGCCTGGGTGTTATTATTTTGTAATGTTTACATATATAGAAAAAAAAAAAAACAACAACAAAGTGTACTCCATATTTAACTAGTGAACGCAAAACTTGGCCGCAAAAACAAGGTGATCTCGTCCGTAAGTATGAATATTGCGCCATGACGTTAATAAAGACTAAGAAGTGGGAAAAACCAACGGCAACGATATAGCATGGTAGAAACACCACCAATGTTGCAATTTGCAAGGTGATGATGCTTATTCCGGTGTCCTTCATTCATCGACTGTAACTTTTAAGTAAACAGTTGATCTTACTTAGTATCTGTGTATCATTTTCCTGTATGCGTCCTTGTTTTCAGTGTAGTATTTTATCTCGGCCTGCAAAAACACGGAAATTTATCATATATAAAATAGTTTCCTGAGTAAAGATTTTCCTAGAAAGATTAATGAATCTATAATACAACTTAGTGGTAAGTTTCATCATTTTTACTACACTTTTCTTGAGAAAATACGGCTATGTTGGAGGCCTTCAAACAAACTAAAAGAATAAGAACACAAGATCTGCAGCAATACATACCTTTCTAACCCCTTTAATTGCAGTCAAGAGCTTTTCACCCATCAACTCATGCATTAGCGTGTCCTTCTCAAGAGCTTCTAGAGATTCTGAGAGGGATTTTGGCAATCTCTGACTTTCTTCTTTGCGGTTGTCGGGATTTTCATCTATTTTGTACAAAACATTAGGAGTAAGAACATCTTTGCAGAATAACTGCCATTTATGACAAAATGAAACAGTAAAGGAAGTGATCACTATGATCACATGCATGTATACAATTCACATAAAAAACTGATAAAAGGAATAAAAGGCCAACATATCTCACTATAACGTAGTCTCACCAAAGGGTTTAGGAAGACTTAGATGCCGGCGAAGACCATCAATGCCAGCAATGATAATAGAAGCCAATGCCAAATATGGATTAGAACATCCATCACAAACTCTAATTTCAAAGTTGCTGACTGCACCATTAGGAACACCAGGAGGGCATGCAGTTCTCAGTGCAGCCTCCCGATTTTCTTTTCCCCAGCATAAGTATGCTCCACTCCATGTGTTAGGCTGTATGCGGTCATAGCTGCAAGCAGTTGGAAATAGACACATGTTTCACAAAGACCAAGTCCAAAACTTTTCACCTTTTATGACAGTCACATCAGTTGTAAGCACTCTCATGAATAATGCTCGAAAGAAACTACAGAATTTAGCTTGTGAAATAGGGGGAGACCTGTTTGGAATTGGGGCTGTAAATACCAAAATGGAAGGAAGATGATCTAAGACCCCAGCCATAAATTCCTCTCCAACTTTGGACATCCCATGCTCAGCCGATTCATCGTTTGCCATAAACACATTTTTCCCATTCTCAGATAAACTTATATGAACATGGTTACCAGATCCAATATCATCCAATGCATACCTGAAAAACAAAAAGGGACATTGAAGCTTTATCATTAAGATTATTGCCTATTGGTCTTTATACTTTCACCCGATAATTCAACAGAGCAAACTAATAGGGGCCAAAGTTCAAGAAGAATTTAGAATGAAACTTTAATTGGCAAAAACCATATATGTATTTGATATGAGGAAACTAAATATCAGCAAAGAATTTTCCTCCAAGGATAATAATGTTTCCCTCAGTTTAAATAGCCACCGAAAACGATGTTTAGAATCTCACCGACAAATGACAAATGGTAAACATATACTTCATGTAAGAGTTGGAAAAACCTTAACACTTACTTTGGCACAAATGTAGCCAGAAGCCCATGCCTTCTAGCCACAGACCTAATCACTTCACGTGTGTAAACTAAGTTGTCAGCTGCCTTGGTGCATATCGTATATTGCAAGGCAATTTCATATTGACCATTTCCAGCCTCCGCATGTACCTAGGGTATGAATCCAAGGGAGCAAAATTTTAGGTACCTACTTGAAATTCATACTGAGATTATAATTCAAAACAAAGGATATGAATTAGCAACCATATACCTGAATATGTACAGGTATCATAGAAAGAATAAATCTAAAGAACATGACTGAGAGTTAAATCTTCTGAATTTCGGAATTATCTGGCAATTTCACTCAGCAATGTTGCCTTCATTATCGAAATTGATGATGTTTTAGGCTGATATCTAGTTCGACGGTTGTTTTATTAGATTCTGATTCTTTGTCCTTTGGTTTTTAGTTTCATTTTCAAATTAAAATAAACCCAAAATAATGACAGTATCAACTTAGTAATCCAAGTACAACATCAACTTGGTGAATTTCCTCCTTACCTGTTCCGCTGAAATATTCAGAGATTGCAGGGAAGCTATCACTTCATGCAACACTGGGAAAGCCTCATCAAATCCTGATGTAGAGCAATAAGGTCTTGTGTCAAAAGGCACCCATTCTTCTTTTCCCTCCCTGGAGAGTGATCAGTGAGTGAAATTGACATGAGAACAAAGTATTAGGGAGTGGAAGAGCAAGCGACACAAAGAGCAGAGAGTTGTCGGAAAAGGTTCTCTAAAACACCTGGCTATATTCTTTAGCAGAACAAACTCATTTTCAAATCCAGCATTCATGACCTGAATAAAAGTTTCAGGAATCTCAGCAACAAGACATGATTTTCGGAATTAAATAAGACAGACAAAACCTACCAAGTTAAACTCATCTTTCAAGACTTTAGAGACACGTCTTAGAGCTTCTCTTGGGCAATATTCCCATGCCTCACCAGGTGTGAGATGCATATCACCCAAAACCATCTCCTGTTGCTTTGCCCTGTATCAGAATTGAAAAGTAAGAGATAAACTAAAGTTAAATTTTGTCCAATAACTGGTTAACTAAAAAAGTTTGCATCAGAATGCAAACTAATTGGGACCCAGGAATAGTGCTACCATGGGATTCTATATTTTGTCGATAGATCAGGAATCAATCTAATCTCTCCAACACCAGTCAGATTTGATCCATCAGCTGGAGCATCAACAGCTGATGTCATCACCATACACGCGTGAGTTAGACCAACACCATTCTTTACCACAACATCATGGAAGCGTTTCTCTGGAACCACCTGAAATCAGATACGAACTAGTAAATACCAAAATATTCTGATAGAAAGTGATTGACAAAAAATTAAGGGCTTTTTTTAGCAGTTGGGGAAAATTTGATATAAGAAACATTAACTCCACAATAAAAGAGAGACATACCCGACATCTTTGCTGCCCAGAAGCATCCACCCAGATAATCCGCACAAGTGTAAGATCACAATCATGGTTAGGGCTTTCCACAGGTAACAGGCTGAAAGGAGATGAAGCTTCTGACTCGACTGGCATTTCAGCTACTTTAATCTTGTAAAATCCTTTCGCATTTTCGGCAAATATGTCCTTGACTGCTGAAAGAGCATCCTGAATTGAGAGATCACCCTCCATACACAAGTCACGTAAAACAGCAAATACCACTTCTCGTGCTTTCTTTGCACCTGTGAATGAAATGTAGCTCAAATTATTTTAAAGCATATATCAGAATAATTTGCACTTCATTTGCATTATCCTCTTTGATGTCTGCATAATTAGTTGTAGATGGTAACAGTCTTCCCACGACCACTTTTTAACCAAGTCCAAGCTATGTAAAGTGAAACCCAAATTATATACGTTCATGCAGGATCTTGGAACGGCCAGGTCATTAGGGCATAATGAGGCAATTTTACCTTACACTTATATTAGAGGCTGTTTCTGCTTTTTAAACCCCTGACCTCTGATAAAAAATCAAACAGTTTACTATTTATATAGCAGATACGAAAAGAAATAGCAGATAAAACTCAAAATAAATTTTACAAAACCCACAAAGTAAATACTTTCTCTTGGTTAAGGACACGCTAGTGAAATAGAAAAGGCGGCTAGACTGAAAAATGAATGCCAGTAGGTAAAAATTGTTGATCGTTATAGAAAATTACAAGCCATCAACTAGATCTACAAAGCTTCAAGGGTAATAGTTAAAACCATCACCTACGAAAAAGGTCTCAGGAAATGCATAGCCATCAGTGCTAAACATCACCTGCAAAATAGCATTGAGAAATGAGAATGACTATGGTAGTAACAGTCTGGATACATTTAACTTGCAGAGTCTCAACATTCACCTTTCGTATTGGAGCAAGACTCAAAAGTTCCTTTAATGAAGTCATCATCCCATGGAAACTAAGTTTAGGAATGGCCAGCCCAAAATCAAGATAAACCTATGAATGAAAAAACACTTGTATCAGGAGATGAGCAACCAAAGAAGAGTAGGCCGGAGAAGAGAGCTTTAGGTCTTACTTGAGGGTACACCAAGGCCAGATATGATGCTTCTTTAGAAAAAGGATAAGATGCATGCAGAAGCACTATGCGTGACTTGCTGAATCTCTTATCTTCAAGAACATTGCGGAGATGAAGAGGATTGGCAAGTCTCAAATCAAGATCTTTATCTCCAAAACTGCCATCAATGGTTAGTGGAATTCAACAAATCAGAAAATACCCCAAGTGGAATGCAACAGAGAATTCATGCATCCTCCTCACAACTTGATATGATTGAATAATGAAACAAATCTTTGGTATCCTAGTTCAGCATCATAAAACAATCTGTAACAACAAAAATCAGAGGATGATCCAATATATAAAATATTTTGCAGAACATTAGCCGTTGAATTCACTTACCCTGTGTGTACCTGTATTGACAAGTCAAAAATTAGTGCTACCTCCAATGCGCATGTAAAAACATGATCAATGAAGTTCTTATTTGTTATGCGGATGGGACTTC